TAACCTCGATTCCAGATGGTTGGAGAATGTTGGGGGAATTCTCTACGGCATGTGATTTGAGATCTTCTATGGGTGGTTTGGTGAAGGTGAATTGTTTGGTGACGAATGTCGTGGAGAGGAGATATTTGATTGGTAGACCGGAGAAATTGAGTTTGAACTCGAAGGTGTTTTGGTGGAAAATAATGGATGAGTCGAAGAGAATATAAAAGCAGTCTAGGCTCAATTTTCAATCTCAGTAACATATCAAATGATGAAGAAGAAGAAGAGAAGAAATGGAGGAAAAGAGAAGAAGAAGAAGAAGAGAAGAAGTGGAGGTAAAGTGAACAAGAAAAACAGAGGAAATGATGAAGAAGAAGAGCATAAATGGGGGGAAGAAGGATTAGTTAGGTGGTTTGTGGATTTTGATTGGAAAAGACAATTAAGCCCTGAAAATAGTTATGTGCAATGCACATGTTGTGATTTTCGGCCAAAATGCCCTGAAAATAGGCAACTTGGCAGAATAATGAGTTTGGATGTGATCGTGCAACCTCTTTTTCATTGAGGTGATGACCGCAAAAATTGACAAAGTTTAGGTGGTTTAGTGTTATTTACCCTTCTTTCTTTATAACTCAAACTTCATTGAGGACTAGTTTATGTCGTATTGATTGGGCAACAAAAGAATTATAAAAACAAAAATTGCGACCAATTTTTACAAGTTTTTGAATTAATTGATTTTTTCTTTTTACCGTTTTTATTATTTGTTATTTGGAAGTGAACTTTTTCCATGAACCTTAATCAGTCGGTACTATTGTGTTATTATGATTTTATCTCATCATTTAATTTATGTATTTTTGGTGGTTTTTGTCTAATTGTTTAGGTACATGTATAATACCTTTATAAACTTATGCTTCATTTAATGCTTTATTTTTTTGGAAGAAGTAGCTATTAGAAGAAATGTAATAGAAAAGCAAAAATTACAAGTCAAAATTAAAGCAAAACAAATGAGGCTCAAAAAGAAACCGAGCAGATGAGAATTGCATACATGCCAAACAATAAAACAAACGATTTGAAAAAGATGTAAATCAGATGGATCACGAGTCAACAACTACATTTGATGGTCAAAAAATGGATTGTTGATCAACAAACTTGGATCCTTGAAAAATAAAGAGAAATCATAAATCGTGCACGGAAAATGAGTAACACATTTACAGAATAATTAGTTTCCAAGCATTCTCGTCATTTTTTTATGCCTATAATTGGAGGGATATTCCAGTATTTTTATGCGAATTATTTGTAATGTTTTGTGTTGTTAATATTTATGTTAATTTATATTATTTGTAAATAATTAGTAACTTCTAAAAATTAATGTACGTATATAAAAACAGACGAAAAAACAAATGGATTTGGAGAGCATCAGTAAGATGCTCTAAGCATGTTGTTTTCATCATATTCTTGTGTTTTTCTCTTCCAACTAATGAGAACCAAAACAATAAACTCTAAGAAGTCATCAGCTTTAATTTGCTCTTAAGTTGTGACGAATTTCGGCAATTCGATAGATATCGTTTAGGTCTTGAAAATGTATTTTTCGATTTTGATTCATTGAAAATTACTCAAAATCTCAAATAATAAGATTTATTCTCTGTATCGGCGTTTGTTTTGTTTAACATAACCAATTATAACATATTAGCCCGTTGTTCTTACTTCCGCGTTTTCTTCATTTGTGTTTCAATTACGTGTTTTTGAAGTTTCATTTATGTAGAAGACATTGATGGTAATTAACGACACCCAAGCATGACGAAACACGACAACAAACTTCCAACGATTGGCTGAAAATCGGCAATGAACTTCAGAAACTACTAGTTCTCAAAATCGAGTATTTTAACAAAAACGACAACGAACAACATATTGATCTTGGAACAACAACATTTAAATAAGACACTATTGAAAAGATGAAGCTGCTACCTAGGACTCCACCTGTCATGTTCATACAAACCTCGTTTTTTGCTATCGACACGCCGCCTTTTCCCAGACGACGAAGCATCACCTTCAGACGGCCTCTTTTCGTGCCTGTAAGAATGCCTATCTTTTTTGTGCTGCCTTTCAAGGTGTTCTTCATTGTAGTGCCTAGTAGACCTATTGCCATGTAAGCAATCGGGACTCGACGACCTTTCGTGGCGACGAGACGAACTAGTTGGTTTCTCATGCTCGTCGTCAAAGTCTTGACCAGTTTCAGAAGAATTACTTCTTCTTCCGCTTCTTCTTCTCGGTGGAGATGGGATCTAATTCAAGATTAAAAAACAATATTTTTACTTAGTGCTTTTATTTTCATTTTTGACTGTTTATTACAATAATCGAGTTTGAGACAGCTCGTTCTAAGGCAAGGAAATACTAAGCACGGTTGCTTTGCTTATTACCTGAAAACGTGACATATATCTTCCTTCGGGAGGAGGTGGTATGCCGAGCCTCTTTAGATCATCAAATGGAATTGGCCTCCTATATTTAAATTTAAATTTAAATATGCAAGTTCAGATTACACTAAATTAAATTTGGTATGCTTTTTTGACAAGAAAATGAAGTGTGCAATGAATATTTTCAAAATAAATATTAAAATCCAAGAATTTTTAAACTGAAGGCAACGTGTTTGCATGTGACGGTAAAAAAATACCCTTTTAGAATTTTGCAGCTAAACCCATTTTACAGCATAAGAATCACATCAACGATTCTTTTTCCAACTGTAAACAAGATGAATATCTTCCTTTATAACCTTTAACAACTTATTTCGTGATGTCTATAACGAAGATTAGAGTTCAAAAGGTGACGACTATGCTTATCTGTAGTTCAAATTTCGAAACCCGCACTGCGGCATTTTGCCCTGAATTGATGATTTTTTTTTTACTTTTACAACCCTTATTCGTAAAAGACAATAGTACTACTAGATTGATTTAAAAACTAATTAGTTATATAAATGGAGAAATTCTGTAGTTTACAACTTTTCATTTAATGCAATGTTGCTATACAGAAATCATTCTTTTACAGCTTGATACAAACTCTACCAGCAAATTCACCAAAAACATATATATATATATATATATTGAAAATATATATAGAACAAGAAATGAAGGCTTACAGTGGAGCTCGAAATGGTCTTTCTCGTCCTCCAAATCGAAGTTGTCCTGATTCTTTCTTGCCACCAAGACCACCTCCTATGGAACAAAAATAGGTTTTTTTTGTTTTTTGTTGTTTTGTTTTTTAATTTAAAGCTCCGAATATTATACAAACATCAGTTAAGGAAACGTTTGGGTTACCTAGCCTTCTTGGAATCCAACCAGGCATCAAATGCTGTCTATTGTAGTCAACTATTATTTCCGAATCGTCAAGAAAAGAATGATGAGCATCCTAAGAAGAAGAATAAACACAATAAGTATCAATAAATTCTCGATGATAAGTTGAAACAGATAATTGAATGATGTGGCATCATGGGCAAGAACAGTAACTAAGCTTGCGTGATGATATTCATTGAGACTCGTTACTATGAAGCAATAAATTCCTCAAAAATCATAGGAAATAATGAAATTGGGTTATTTCTGAATACAACAATCAACAACAACAATCAACAACAGGATTTAACACATAGCTATTAGTCGTAAATCAAATTGGAAAATAGCCGTTGGTAAGGAGAGAGGAATAAACGGATCAAAGTAACAAACCAAAAATAACCAAAAAGAATTACGATTTGCCAACATAGGTAGTACCTTGTATGCTCTACGCATATCTTTCTCTGTTTCAAACTCAACAAATGCATAACCACGCGAGGCACCCGTCACTGCATAAAAATATATACATTGTGAACATGTTTTCTGAAAACAATTTACAAGTATGCCAGTCGGGAATTTATTCGCCAACATCAAAATAGCCATAGATAACACGATTTTTTATGATTTTTTTCTCGAGCGACTGGTCTAACGTACGAATCAAAAGCTTGCCGTGAAGTAACTCGTAAGTATAGTGGTGTAAACACAATTTTGCAAAAAAAAAAAAAAAGCAAAACTAAAAGTTAATTGAAAAAAAAAGTAGCTAGCAATTTGATTCCTTTAACCAATGAACAAAAAACGAACGCCCAGAATAAGATTAGCCAAGATAAAATTAAATAATCTAATGAAACTCAATTGTATTACATGCTTAAAAGGCATGATAACGTAGTATTTGTGGGTCGACCTGGCAAGTTATTGGGATACCAAACATCGAACAAAGTCTAATTATTTAGTTAATAATCATGGCTAATCTCCGCAACCAAACGAGGCCTTATTAGAGAGAGAAGATTTACCTATATGTCTTACCAAACGCAAGTTCTTCACCCTCCCATATTCACTCATAGCCTGATTAAAGATTAAAATAAGAAACCAGGCAGATTAAATAAATAAATAAAATACAAAAAATCTGTGTGTTTATATTATACCTTACGAAGAGTGTGTTCGGTGGTGAGATGAGAGAGACGAGCAACGAAGAGAGTGCAACAAGGATCCCCAATTACTTTCGGGTCGCCAAACGGGTCATCTGCAATATCAACGGCCCGAATTTCATTATTACGATTAAAAATAAAAAAAAGGAAACCCTAGAAATTCAATCGATAAACGGTGACGGTAGCGGAAATAGTTACAGAGGGCGGCGTTGGAACAGAGAAGAGCTCTGTAGACGGCGTTGTCGTGGGGGTGGATGTCGGTTCCGTCGATGCTTCCGGCTTGGATCGGGTGGTAACTCTCCGCGTAAAACACTGAATTTAAGCTTGCGCCGCCGCCGCCGCTCATTTTCAGAAACCCACCAGCCAAATCAAATGCTCGAACGATTGACACTGTGATAGGCGATTATGGGGGGTTTATTTTAGGGCGGGAAAATTTAAGGATGGACTTCAGCTTTTTACAGATTGGAGTTCGTGATTTTCTCAGGCGACTCCTTTTTGGCCGGGAAATAATTTCCAGGGCAAAGTGCGTGAATGAAAGAATTTTGGACATAATTATTTCAATCTGTAGATTTAAATTTTAATCTAATTTGATGAAATTACTTTACAAAATTGACTTTAATTAGTTTTTAAATCAAATTTAATCTAATATATATAATATATATATATATATAACAAAATATCAACTTATCGATAAACTAATATTTTTTTATTATTTAGAGAAAAAATCTATAAATTAATAATTTTACATTGATTTTAAATGGGAATTGTATAAATTTAAACTATTAAAAAAATACACAAACACAAATATTTGAATATTACTATTTACATTATCATATATATTCATTCATATTGTTTTGTTTCAAAATAGTTGCCCGTGCACGGCACGAGCAGAAGAAAAAGTATAATAAATGAGAGAACACAGGCGCGCGTTCTCTCTCTCTTTGGGCTAAAGAATTCGACCGTTGGAACAACCTACGATACACTATCCGTTGCACAAAAAACTAGCTTTTCACCCTTCACTTCATACAACAACCACACACACACACACACACACTCTCTTACTGTGTGAAAAGAAAAAAGGAAAAAAGAAAACCCATCATTTTGTTGAAGAAAGGAAAAATGGTCGCCAGAACGCCGGCGAAGCAGCAGAGGAAAATGGCGGTGGCGCCGCCCCTCAGTCCCACTCTTCTCAGGGAAACGGTCAAGAAGGTAAGAAATACATTACACCCAAATCACTTTTTTCCGCAGCTTTTCTTTTTCTCTCTCTTACATGAAAATCATTATAAAGTTGAACTGAGACTCACTATGATTGTTGAAAAAATAAAATAAAAAATTAATGGATAAAATTGATTAAATCACGACATTGAAATGTTGGTTTGAAGGTGGATAAATGTATGGCTAAATTGCAAGAGCTTCAACACACAGTAAAAGGCGTGGGTTCGAGTTCGAGTCCGATCAATAATACTAGTAGAAGCTATTTACGGACGAGTCTCCGATGCAAAAACGAGTCGCCGAGGTACTTAATTTTTCCTTTTTTGAATCAATTTTATCGCCCTAGATCCAAATTTATTCGATCCGTAGCAATGTTCATATTTGAATAATTGTGGCTTGGAATTTTTTTAAGGATGAAAAATGCTAATTCTCGAAAATCTCCGACCGGAAAGCTGCCGCAGATTACAGGTTGTTCATCATTTTTTTCTCTTTCTCACATCCTAACAAAAATTATTTTCTTACACGTGTTTTTCTATATCTAGAGGAATGGAGAAAAATGTCGTTACCGGCAATGTTATTGGGCGAAACAATGAGCGAAATTTTACAAGCAACTCAATTTGCAAGAAACGTAGTTGATGCAACAATTGATGACCCGAAAACTCCATTGACCGAAAAGAGAAGAAAGCCAAAACCAAACCTCGAGAATTCGGGACTCGAATCACGAAGGAGGAGAGAGAAACAAGCCGTGCTGCAAACTATACGATCGGATTCTAATACGCCATCATCTCCACTTCGAAGAGCTAAATCGAGAATAAATTTTAAGGCTTCCCCATTGGTCCGAAATCGGGAGTGCGACAAGGAAAATTGCAGGTACATTGCTAATAATCGAGTTTCGCCACGGAATAATAATAATATCAATAGGGCGTGGGCTAGAAAGACCGTTTTATTTCCGAACCCTTTGTTTCATTCACCACCGAAATCGCGGTACGAGAAGTTCTGCAAGACGAAGTCGCCTGTGATTTCAAGAAATCGACAAACTCCGCATAAGTTCTTGATCAAGTCTCCTACTCCTTGTAAATCGAAGTTTCAAGTGAGAATCAAAAGCCCTTCGGTTTCTATTTCGCCTACGAAAAAAGTAACCGTTTTGAGTAAGAAATCGCCGAAGACGAAGGCGATGATGTCATCATTATCGGGTGCAGCTAAGCTGAGAAGATCGTTTTCGCCGTCCAGGCTGGCAAACAGGCTGATGTCACCACTGAAAGGCAGAAAATCGAATGAGGGTGTGAAGAAGATTGTGACGAGTGGAGTGAAACAACAACGGCCCGTGTCTTTCTCGATCCGATTCTCGCCTCGGAGAATTTGAAGAGATGATGATGTCATCAGATGTTTGTTTGGTGTTGTAGATATTTCCTCAATGTCCCAACATTGAATTCTGAATGTTGTATTTCTTTTAAAATTTGCAATTGTATTTTTTAATCCCTTCAATCTGAAGAACTGAGCCATAATCTAGTTTGAATATTTTCTGAAAATGCGAAATTCCATTTTCAAAGTATTTGTTGTAATTCATAAACTATCTTTGTTCAGTTGATTCTAAATT